GGGTGTGGGGATTCAGCCCTGGGGGTCTGTGGTGACTGGGGGGGTGTCTCTCCCCCTCGGCAGACCCTCCACCCCCTACAACAAATCCAAGCGTGGGCACCGCGAGGAGGAGCAGGAGGACCTGACCAAGGACATGGACGAGCCCTCGCCCGTCCCCAACGTGGAGGAGGTCACCCTGCCCAAAACGGGTCGGTGTGGGGGGCAGCAGCCCCTCCCTGGGCTCCCCAGCAGTTGTGGGAGGGGTCCCCAGGGTGCTCAGCACCCCTTTCCCCCCACAGTCAACACCAAGAAGGACTCGGAGTCAGCGCCCGTCAAGGGGGGCACCATGACAGACCTGGGTGAGTGTGAGGAGCCCCAGCAGAGCCCCAGGACCCCCGGGCTGGCAGTGCCCAAACCCACCCCTGTCCTCCCTTCCAGATGAGCAGGAAGATGAGAGCATGGAGACAGCCGGCAAGGTGAGGAAGGCGTTCCCAGCGCTGCTTGGGGATCTCCCGCTTCTCTCTCAGTCCTCCTCCCTCTTTTGGGTCCAAAAACTCTCTTTTCTGCCCTTCCCCTCACCCCTGGGGCTGCAGCCGGGGCCCTCGGTCTCATCCCGCTGTGGGTGAGGATGATGAAGGGCGCTGAAGGGGGGGTCCCTTTGCCCATGGGGTGCTGCTGTGTGGGGCAGGACGAGGAGGAGAACGGCACGGGCAGCAAAGGGGAGCAGGCCAAGAACCCCGACCTGCACGAGGACAACGTGACGGAGCAGACCCACCACATCATCATCCCCAGCTACGCCGCCTGGTTCGACTACAACAGGTACAGCCGGCACGGCCGGGGGCTCCCGAGCCGCCCTTCATCAGCTGAGGATGAGGAGGCTGCTCCCGGAGCCCTCCCCGAGCCTCTCCTCCCGCAGCGTCCACGCCATCGAGCGCCGCGCCCTGCCCGAGTTCTTCAACGGCAAAAACAAATCCAAGACCCCCGAGATGTGAGGCCAAACCCCCCACCCCATCCCCGCCTG